CTGCGCCGTGCCGCCCCCGGCGCAGGCCGCCGCCTCGGCGGCCACCCGCTCGAGGGCTGACAGGAGCACGGGGCTGGCGCCAAGCCGGTCGGGTTCCGCGCCGACAGTTCCGAACGCCTCGGGGCGGACGATAGGGATGAGGGGCAAAGATAAAGGGGCAACCCTCACTCCCCGAAGCCGTGCGGGCCTGGCCCCTCGGCCTGGCCCCACTCGGCATGCGCAGGGGGGCGCCGCCGCGGCCGCTGGCTCTGCGACGCCAGCACGGCGCTCAGCCTGCCCTTGCCTGGATGCGCTGAGGAGCCTCGGGGGGCCTCGAGGACGGTGACGGCCTGCTGAGCGAGCATGGGGTGCAACGATAGGAGGGGATAGTAATAGGGAGGGGAACATCGACCTGGGATCGGCGATGCATTGATGATAGATCGGCGATAGGCCCCCGATAGTGAATCCGCACAAGCCTGGGCAGCTTGGGGCTATCCATCCTCTATCGACGATCAGTGGGCGATTGGGGGTCGATGCATGCCCCCCTGTCCCCCCCTATCGTTGCCCCTGAAGGGAGGTCGAAGCGAAGCTCAGCGAAGCGAAGCTCAGCGAAGCGAACGCTGGAGTCGTGCGCTCCACCAGAGAGCCCGCCCGTGCCTACTGAGGCGTGGCGTGGAGGCCGTGGCCTCGAGAATGTGAGCTTTGTGCCTCCCCGTCGCTTTGGCGCGGCGCGCCAGGTGTCGAGCGAGCGAGCGAGCGAGCGCCGGTGTCCGCAACCGCGCTGGTGGCGGCCGCGCGTCTTGAAGGCATCGGCGGTGGGGCCGCAGCCCCTCACCAGAGGGTTCCGAAGGGGGTTTTCGGGGAGGGGGTTTTCCAGGAGGGGTCCCCCAGGGGCTTCGCACCCCCTGTTGTGACGAGGTTCCGAGGCCCCTGAGGGGCTCTCTGGAAACCCCCCCCCAAAAAAAAACCCTTTTGGAACCCTCGGGCCTCAGATGACGACGAAGACGTTCCGGAGTCAGTTCGGTTGCCGTCCACCTGTCTTCTCATCTGAACTCTGCAGTCTCGTCGTATCGTTTGTCCTCTGCACATGAGGTCGCATCGGTCGAGGGAGGGCCAGAGATGAGGGGCAACGTTGGAGGGGCCAGCTCAGGGAAAAAACATCGACTTCGAATCGGCGATACGTCGCAGATGGATCGGCGATAGGCCCCCGATAGCAAGTCGGCACGTCCCTAGGCAGGGCGGACAATGGGGCCCCTATCGGCGATGAATGGGCGATCAGGGGTCGATGCATCCCCCCCTAGTGTTTCCCCTGAAGAGAAGGAGGGGGTGGAGAGTCCCCAAGTCTCTCATCTACTTCTTTTCCCCCTTCAAGCGGAGCTGGACCCGAGTGATCGAAGCGCCTCCAGAGGAGGAGTGACTTCTGCATTCGCGCACTGTGCCACACCTTTTCCGTTTCCTGTGCAAGATTGCAAAGGCGTTACGACGGGTGCCGCCGACCCTGCGGGTGGACAACGACGACGACGACGACGCGTAGCCTCTCTTTTTGCTTCTCGCTTGAAGCTCGATCAAAAGAAAGTGCCAGCGACGGCGGCGGCGCCTCGACAACCACGACGACTCCGGCGAGTGCGACGATGACAAAAAGAACGATGTTAACGACGATCACTAGCAGAGGAGGATGGAGAAGGAGAGGTGTGAGCATGGGGATGAGAGAGGACGGAACAAGAGGCGGAGTGGGAGACAGAGCACAAGTAGAGGGAGGCCAGGGGAGGAGAAGGAGGAGAGGGGGACTTGCAGAAACAGCAGCAGGAGCGGAAGGAGCAGCGCAACGGGTCGAAGCTGGAGGAGCAATAGCAGGAGCAGGGGCAATAGGAGAAGGAAGCGAAAGAAGAGCTGGATGAGCGAGAGAAACAGGCGACTGAATGGCTCGTATCCTGCACCCTCCCTGGCCACCTCTGGGAAGCCAAAGATATCGTTACAATACTCCCCTGACCGCTCCAGGGGCGCGTTGCAGAGGGGAATAGAAATAGTTCTGCCTTCACCCTCTCGAACTCCTTCCTGGTTTCCCCCTGGTTCGCCGGGTGGGTTCAAACTGTGGCCTCTCCCGGTCAGTCCTCCGTTTCCTGCGGCCGCACCGGCATCGCTCGCGCACCCGCTCCGCGAGACCCTGAGTGTCCTCTGCCCCTCACCTTGACCCTCCCATCAACGCCTTGGCTATGCCTCTATGTCTGTCACTATATGCGTATACCTATATATATGTATATATATATATATGTATACATATATATATATGTGTGTGTATCCCTCTCAATTTCTCCCTCATGTTCGATCTCTGTTCCCTTCTTTGCGCAAATGGAGCGCATCCTCCCCCGTTATCATCCTCATCCTTCTCGTCCTCCTCCTTTCCTCATTATGCTGTTGCTGCTGTTCATTGTCGTCCTCATCATCCTCGTCCCTGAACTCTCCGCATTGCGCTCGCACAACTAAAGTGCATCGCGGAGGGGGAAAAGGATACGCGGGAAGC